GAACTAAACGGCTGTAAAGCAAACAGTGCAAGAAAACTTTCAGGAACTCCTAAATTACTACAACGACTTGGGAATGTGGGGAAGCCCAACGTGTAAATGTTCTTGTTTCTGCTTCAGTCACAAAGTTCTCTTTTTTTTTTCTTTTTTTTCCTAAGGGAGGGGGTAGTTAAGAAATAAAGGTGGAGGGGGGACAGGGAGAGAAAAGGTGGGGAGGGACTTTTGTTAATTTATTCTTCTCTTGCAGATGCCGTGAAAATCCAGCGCTCTGGATGATTCCCTTTGTTCTTTTTTTTCTTCTTTCCTTTTTTCTTTTCTTCTTTTATTTTTTCTTTTTCCTTTAAGGCAATTCCAAGCTGCCAGAATACTGAGCACAACAACAACACACACACGCCCCCAGAGCTCCCCCCCTACACACACACACACACACTCACCCACACACTCGAAGTTCTGGCGAGACGTCTGGGCTTGGGAAGCTCTTTATGGGTTTACAGCTCTGGCCTTCCCCCTCCAGAGCAGAATGACCAATTGTTTAGTCTCGGAATTTGAAACAATAGCGGTTTTCAAAAGCAAAACCCATTTTAATTCTTTTTCTTCTTTTTTTTTTTTTTTTTTAATTGCGACTTTAATTGCGGGGTGAAGAGGAACATTTTTCTTTTTTTCTCCTTTTTTTCTCCCTTTTTTCTCCCTCTTCTTTATTTTTTTATTTTTTTTTTAGTTTATTTCCCCAGCCCCGACCAAAGACCCTTTTTATCCGTGTGTCCCCCCGCAAAGGAAATCTTCCCCCCTCCCAACTCCCTTACGCATCCCCTCGGGGTGCAGGTCCACGTGGCACCGCAAGGTGGCGCCCTTGCTCCACGCAAGACGCGCATCACCCGCGCTCGGCCGCGGAGCTCCGCGTAACACCTTGATCTCATTAACGACGGGAACCGGGCAAAAGCTGACGAGTAATAATAACCCCGCAGGATAAAACATAGGATTAATTACAACCATTTTAACCGATTTTATAGGTTTTATCTATTTTTTCCCCACAAGATGGGGAAAAATAAACCCCAAAGAGTTAATTTGGAGGCTGTGTGCTGGGATGCGGTGAGTGGGACACGCATCTATTTTAAATGTGCATATAAAGGGGAGAAAAAAACATCGGTTTTTGTCTGCTGCTAGTTGGGAGGACCGTTTAATTATCTCCAAACTGCAGATTTACGTTTGCAGGACTGGGAAAGAGAGAGGATCCGAGATTTGGGGGAGAAAGAAGCCCACAAAATCAGGATATTTTCCCCTGGCTCTTTACCTTAGCCGTTAGGATGATCTGCGCGTTCTCATCTCTTTATTTGAGATGCTTCAGAATCATAGGCATGGTCAAAAAACCCCCAAAAAACCCCAACAACCCCCCAAAAACCCCCCAAACTACAAAAAACCACCCCCAAATCAACCAACTCCATACGCTTTTTAGAAGTTGAACAGGTCATTTTTTGCATAGTTGTTCCATCTTTTAGTAACGCTGCTGCTCTTTGCCCAAGATCTTCACTTCATATGTTTGGAAATGTTTTTAAATGCTACAAAACAGCCAATTCATCCAAAATACTATTAACTTACTACGTTTTGTATGACAGAGCGACACTCCACTGATGCAGTAGCAGCAAAAATAGAAACTTTTAACTTCGTTAGTTCACTTTTATTTTGGCTTTTGTATCTTCAAAATTACAAGATAAAATTATTCAGACGTTCCAGTCCTTCAGTTATAAATAACATAGAAAGGGATGGTGGCAATAAACATAGAAAGGCAATAATTTCCCTATAGGTTTTCTTTCAAATTCTTATAAACAGGTATTTTCTGAATAAATGTTTCTCAGAAGTTACACCAGAAAATTTTTTGCTCTTTCCCAGATAAGCAACATTCTGGGGCAAAATATAACAGATTAAATGGATGCGCACGACAGAGCAGGATGCAAAATGTTGTTTTAAAAAGCAAAGTTTAAACATCTCAAGACTCTCTTTCAACGCTATGAAATTAAATACAAATACAAACAGAAATAGATGGGGGAAAATAAAGAAAAATCCTGTATTCAGTAAAATGCAGAGTAATGAAAAGTTCAGGTTTACCTAGGAAAGGTTTGGGGTTGTTTGGGTTTTTTTTTTATCCATGTGATTTCCTAATAAATCTTTCCTCCACTGGGTATTTATAAATTATCCTCTCCCTCACAGACACACACACACACATCCCCACTTGTGTTTTGCTTCTTTTTTTTTCTTTCTTATAATAGAAACATTTTCCTTTCATCAGGAATCGGAGTACAGTATGGGAATGATTTAAGATCAGCCATTGATTTCTGGTGCATTGGTGAGTTACCATCACATCACGGCCATAAAATTCTTATTGCACTTGATAAAAATGTTAACTTCCAAGCACAACTTCATGGAGTCCACGTCTGAAAGGGAATTCCTGCCCTTTTTCACTTTACAAACTTCAATAGATGGGAGTAAGCCTGGAAATACACAGCCAGGAAGACAACTTCTTTTCTAAAAATACTTCCTTCCATTCAAATTTTTGTTGCTTTCTTGAAAAATTCCAGCATCGACCATCCCCACGTCAGGCTACAAACTCTATTTTACTTCTGCGCAACATTTCTAGGGTTTTATGTTCAAAGATGAAACCCAAATCTGCTCAATCGACAATAAAAGTGTTGAGAAAAATAAAATGTTAACTTGTCTTTTAGGGGGGGAAAAAGCTTTAATTATACCACCGCAAGTACTCCAACAACAATAATTACCTGAAAAGGCTCTTAGACTCGACTGAAATGATCCCTACACAAAATAAAGGAAACGTATTTACTTAAATTATTTCTCTAAGGATGGTTTTAAAGTTTTATTCCGTTACTATCTTTGTTTTCCTTCTTTTTTTTCCTCTCTCTCTCTTTCTTCCTGCCTTTCTTAATTCCCTTCTTAATCCCACTGCTAATTTTAATGCAAGTTGTTTGGGTTTGGGTTTTTTTAATCATTATTTTTTTACCAAAGCCTTGGCAAGACAAACTAATGGAAATATTTCAACTTTTCCCTCTTTTCCATGTGTTGGAGGTTGAAAATTATCCCTCCGTTGAAGGCAGACACGAATGAAATCGACTTTAATTCACCTTTCTCTTCTCTAAAAAAAAAAAAGGAGCAGACGGCTGCAATGGGAAGGAGCAGAAATCTACTCAGGGCAAAGGAGAAAAAAAGTAAAAATAGATGTTTAAGAGTGTTTTTAACTCCTATTGAAGGCTGAAGGATGGGGGAATATAGGTGGCATTGCGAGGGGCGTCATGGGTGTCAGGCAGGCTGGGGCAGCGCTGGGCTTGGGAGGGTTGGGGGGGTCGTTATTAACTGAAATACGTCTCGGTAATATTTGCTGACTGCGATAAATGAATTTCAGAATCTACCCCTTGTGTGTTTAGATGGTGGAAAATTGCAGCGTTGGCATCTTAGGGGTAAGTTTGCTCCGTTGTTACCAAATGCTAATAAAATAGAAAGCTTCTCTCATCCTCACCCCATCCCCCCCCCTCTTCTCCCCAGTTTTCATTAGGAGTCATCATGCAAAAAAAAAAAAAAGGGGGGAAAAATAATAAAAAATTGAAGTTATTAGGGGGGGGGTGAGGTAGGGAAGAGCCATCAGTTACTGACCATAAAGGTTCTGCTCGGGAGGTGATAAGCGACACAATACTTTGAGTTCGCAATCATCCCCGACCACATCTTGAACAAGTCCTCGGCGGGGGAGGAGGCATGGTGGGCTGCGGGGAGAGACACAAAAAGTCAATGTTAGAGATGAAAAACTATAATCATTTTAATTCAATATTGACACCTCACCATCTCGCTGTTAATGCGGACGGGTCCAATCGAAACCTCTGGTTTATAGCAGTAGAGGAACGAACTCGTAAAATCCTAACAGCTTTTATGTCGTGCGGTATAAACAACAACAACATCCCCGGCTTTATGGCGTTTTATAGTTTGTTAAACAGTTTACAGCCTTTTTTGGGGCTATTACAAATGCAATTCCCTTCATGTGATAGTTAAACCTTTATCAATAATAAGGAAATTGATCATTAAAATGTTAAATATGACTACCTCGTTTGTTTTAAAATATGTTTAGGGTAAGAAGCTGTATGATTTGATAACTTGTATTAAAATACCAATTACATTTATAGGACCTTTTAAAACTGGTAGCAATTAAATCGTGTTCTTTTACAGTTTTCCAAAGCGACCCTGACATTTAAAAAGGCTAAAACTGCCTCGTTAAAATTTTGAAATTAACGACTGCCAGCGCTTCTCTTTAATTTTCCAACACTCCCCCAAAAATCAATCTTTTGGGGTGGTCTAGGTATGTGATTTGTTGTGAGGCGAGCGATATCTCATTAATGTAGGTAGTTAAACATATTTAATCCGTATATTCACCCCACCTCCTTCTCCCGTCCCCTCTCGCTCCCTCTCTCTCTCTCTCTCTCTCCCTCTCTCGCTCCCCCTCGCTTGCTTTTCCTTCTTTATTCTCTCACACTCTTCCTTTCACAATCATGCGGTGCAGAGTCCGTGTGGAGTAAGGAGAAGCCAATAGGATGAGGTTTTGGTAATAGATGCAAATGATCATGAAAAGACACTGCAAAATATGAAACAACTCATTTGCGCTGAAGTAAATCACTGAAAACTGTTTATGAACTGGCATCTCTTCTTGGAAATGTAAAGCGAGAACTCTTTAAGTGGCGATTTTTTTTTTTTTTTTTTTTTTTTTAGGGGTGGGGGGGGAGGAAAGAATTCAATATCATGCAGGCTTAGAGTTTTGATTATATCCTCCTTTTATATTCCTGGAAATCACAAACTGTCGTTGCTTAGCATCTTAGCGCTTTCTTTTTTTGCTAATAGATTC